AATTAGAAAAAAATCTGTATTTCTAACTCCCCCATTTTTCCTCCATTATCCTGTCTTCAATATGTGCACAATATACTAACTGTTGCTTCAAGATTTGATATTTTGACTCTAAAAGCAAATCTAACCAGGCTGAACCCCCAATTCTGATTATACTCAGGGAGGCAACCAATGATACTCTCCCTTTCCTTTATGTTTTACTCTGACAATGAACTTTGTTTCCAAGTCTGTAGGAAACCTACAAACCAACAATGTTCCATTTCCACTTACATCATAAATAGATTAAATGTGGTGCTATCATGGATTTTTTTCCAATGAGATCTCCATATCTGCAGTATTGAATTCTTTGAAGATGTGCTCTTTCCCTGAACAAATCTTCTTAAAACTACACTACCATGTCCTTGACATTTCATCAGGGATTGTAGGCATGGTAACAGCATCAACAACTCGCCCAGACTAGACAATACTGAAAAAAGATATGGAGTCCTCTTACAACTCAAATGCCAAACACATCTCCAAGATCTTCTCCAAATGTAAACTCAACATAGCCACCGCCACCACCACCACCCACTATTACAATCAAAGATATTTTTTATTATTTTTTTTTCTTTTTATTATCACACTGGCCGATTCCCACCAAGGCAGGGTGGCCCGGAAAAGAAAAACTTTCACCATCATTCACTCCATCACTGTCTTGCCAGAAGGGTGCTTTACACTACAGTTTTTAAACTGCAACATTAACACCCCTCCTTCAGAGTGCAGGCACTGTACTTCCCATCTCCAGGGCTCAAGTCCGGCCTGCCGGTTTCCCTGAACCCCTTCATACATGTTACTTTGCTCACACTCCAACAGCACGTCAAGTATTAAAAACCATTTGTCTCCATTCACTCCTATCAAACACGCTCACACATGCCTGCTGGAAGTCCAAGCCCCTCACACACAAAACCTCCTTTACCCCCTCCCTCCAACCTTTCCTAGGCCGACCCCTACCCCGCCTTCCTTCCACTACAGACTGATACACTCTTGAAGTCATTCTGTTTCGCTCCATTCTCTCTACATGTTCGAACCACCTCAACAACCCTTCCTCAGCCCTCTGGACATCAGTTTTGGTAATCCCGCACCTCCTCCTAACTTCCAGACAGAAACACAACCAACATTGCTCAAGTATACTTAAAGAGTACAATACTTAAAATCCCATGCAACAACTGGAACAAAATCTGTGGAGGTGAGACATCCAGAGAACTCGAGAAATGCACCTCAGAACACCAATATAATATAGTACCAGCATAACAGACAACCTTAATAATGCCTGTGAAATATAATTCAGTAAAATGTAAATGAAAAACATGAACCATAACTGATTTGCACTGAAAATTGATCAGAAAATGCTATGTAATTTACAAAAGGCCTTGGCAGGCACATCAGTAGATTTTTCCCTCTTAACCAGCAGGTAAAGCTATTATTTATATGGGAGGCCCAGTATCTCCCTTTGTCAGCCCATCCATGCCACCAACAGCTGCCTTCTAGAAGCATGGTATGACTGACCCAATATCTTTACTAAACAATTTAGGATATTATCATTTCCCCATCTCATCTTTGGATATTAACCCTGGCACTCAAAAGGAATACTTGTGATGCTGGAGGTGCCAAGAAAATTAAGCATAAAACTCTGACATTTTCTAAGAAAACTGAGATATTGGACATGCCTCAGGCTAAGCTACATGTGATGCACCCAGTAAATCAACCATTAGTACTACTCAAGGCAATGAGAAGAAAATAAGAGCTTGTGCAGTGAGAAATCCAGAGTGTGGCCAGATCAAAAAATGGCATGGGTCAATGCAGTTAAATAAAGTGGCAAAGTTAGTGAATGCATAGACTGGGGAAAAAACAAAAGTGTCACACTTAGTGGTCAGATGATAAGGCAGAATGCCTTACATTATTACAAAATTGTGTAATAAAAATGGAAAATCTCTAGGAGCATGTGCATTTAGTACTGGCTGATTCAATAGATTTAAGACATAGCAGTTTGCTGCACAGCAGAAAACTCTGTAGTGAGAGTCATACAAAATTTGCTTGCCAAGTTTCAGGAAATTATTTCTTAGAAGTGTTCCACTGACAATCATATGTTTAATGCTGACAAGGCAGTGTTCTGTTGGGAGAAAATGTAGTCAAGAAATTGTATTAGCAAGAAACAAAAATTTGCACCTGGGTTGAAGGCATTGAAGGATTGCTTCATATTGCTTGTGTGCATTAATGCATCAGGTGGCTTTAAGTGCAAGTCTATGGAAATTTATAGCTTGCACATTTCCTGTCCTTCAAAAGAATAAGATAAACTCCACTTTGCCTGTTGTTTGGTAATCTAACAAGACAGCATAGATGAGTGAGATCCTATTTGTTGGTTGATTCAAGAATCGTGTTATTCCTGCAGTGAAGATGAACCATACCAAAGAAGAATCTTGCATTCAAGAATCGTGTTATTCCTGCAGTGACGATGTACCAGGCCAAGAAAGAACCTTGCATTTAAGATTCTCCTGACTTAATAATTCCTGTAACCATCTTGTAATTTTGGAGTCTCTGGACCCAAATGTGCAAGTAGTGTTTTTAATACCAAATACAATATCATTAATACAACATCTAGATCATGAAGTTATCAAGAAATTTAAGTAATGCTACACAAGAAGATTCATGCGAAAAAAAACTTCAGTAATGAGTAACTATTCAGATACTGGTGTGCAAGAATTCTGGAGTACTTTTAACATTACTAATTTACTAATACAGGCAAGCCTCACTTTACAGTGCTTCACTTTATGGCATTCTGCTAATGCAGCAGTTTTCAATTATACCCATTCTTCATTTATTCAAACTTCACGACTCACAAAATCGTAATGACACAATTGCAAACAAACCATACCTTTGATATATACCTTTGAAGAGTTTCAAGAGTTAATCTACTTTCCAAGCCCAGCCATGGGCCAGGCTCGTCTGGTGCTTGCCTGGTCAACCAGGCTGTTGCTGCTGGAGGCCTGCTACCCAACATATCCATCACAGCCTGGTTGATCTGGCACCTGGTGAAGATACTTGTCCTCTTGAAGGCTTCTACACTTGGCCCAGCCGTGTTTCTGATATCTTCTGGTAAGATGTTGATTAGTTTGGGACCCCGGATGTTGATACAGTATTCCCTTATTGTCCCCACTGCACCCCTGCTCCTCACTGGGTTTATTTTACCATACCATTGCTAGCGTGTCGGTCTGGAGTTTTATGAGTGACTGCGGGTTCCAACCCCACCTGTGGTATGATTGAAACTTCTACGGTAAATATATTCACTCATTATAAGCTAAGGACACACATTACTAAGTAATGTGTGTTCTGTACATGCATTTTTTAGGTCTAGCTATATTGCTCACTTAATATATAATAGTGTAAACATGTTATCAGGCTTTTATATGCATTGGTATGTGAAAAAAAGACTGTTTGCTTTACAGTAATTTTTGCTTTACAGGAGTAGCCCATAACCTAACCTGCTGTATAAGCAGGGCTCTCTTGTACATGCAAGACTATATTAATGGTATTGTTTACTGATACATTGATGAATAAGACACACATCTGCAAAACAGGTTTCTTCATTCAAAGTCAGAGAATATTTTAATACAGGAAACAAGTAGAAGAATAGAAGAGGTAATCTGGCATCCCTCATCCTTTTAGATGTTCAGTCCCTCATCTTTTTATAAGGAATTTATCCTCTTATCCTGGACTGAAAGTGGTCAATCCCTTATCCTGGATTGAAGGTGATCAGTCCTTTAGCCTAAAGCAGAGGCATGAGAATGGAAACATACTAGAGCAAGAGGTGAGATACAGCAGTTGGAGATGGCATCACAGATGGGTATGGCCCACTAGTAAAAACAAGTAATGCCAAACAATTGCTTAGCAGTAGAGCTGTAGAAGATATCCTCTGTACCAAGATGCATACCTGCTCCATAGTAAATTTTTTTTTGTCTCCCACCGAGGCAGGGTGACCCAAAAAAGAAACACTTTAGCCATCATTTACACATAATCACTGTATTTACAGAGGTGCCCAAATATGAGAGTTTAGACATCACTCCAAAAAGCCAATGTCTCAAACCCCCTCCTTTAAAGTGAAGGCATTGTACTTCTCACCTCCAAGACTCAAGTTTGGCTATAAAGTTTCCCTGAATCCCTCCATAAAATATTACCCTGCTCATGCTCCAACAGCTCGTCAGGTCCCAAAAACCATTCATCTCCATTCATTCTTATCTAACATGCTCACACATACCTGCTGTATGTCCAAATCCCTTGCACACAAAATCTCTTTTATCCTCTCCCTCCATCCTCTCCTTTCCTTCCATGAGTAAAAATACCCAAGTGCCGTGCATTTGTCTCAGTCATCAACACACAAGACTGTGATGGAAAGTATTAGTGTCATAAATAACTTCAGTGATTTTTCCCTTGTTAGTGTATCAGGTGCAGGATATTGAGTCTAGCCAGGAAGTGGGAGGTGAGGCCTTTGATGACATGCAGAAAGAAGGCAAAAGAAAGCTGTAGAAGAATTTCCAGAAGACCTAATTTTAGAGGTAAGACAGAGGAAGATAACAAATGAGGATGAGGAAGAAGAAACTTCTACAGAAATACAGTGGAACCTCGGTTTTCATCATTAATTCATTCCAGAAAGTCTGACGAAAACCGAATTCGACGAAAACTTAAGCAGTATTTCCCATAAGAAATAATGTAAATCCAATGTCTGGAATAGACACCCAAAAATATTAACAAAAAAATACATTTTATAGAGAATAACTATGGTTTTACATACAAACTAGGGCATATGAAAACTGAGGTTGCACTGTACTATACATGAAAAGTGTATTGTGGATATATGTTACTGTATCACAACTAGGATGCACCCTACAGCATGATAATGCAAGCAGTTGCAATGAGAATATTAGTGAATGTTAAAATTAAAGGGATCAAAAACTGACTGCCCTACATACTTGAGAAGTGATACCCTCTCTGAAGAGGAAATCATGATTGATGCCTGTATCTGCAGAGGTGCCATACATGAAGCTTGCTTCCTGAAAAATGACACCGCATTAGAAAAGAATTTATAAAACAGGAAAAGGAACTCTAAGAATGAATAGACTTGGATTTGAACTATGGTCCTGAATGGTAGGTGGTCCAGCACTTTACCACTGGGATACAAGGCTTCTAATAATAAAGTTTCACACAGCACTGCTGTGTCATGTCTGTGTCAAAGGCCACCATCTGTGACACAAATGTCCTTTCCCACAGCTCCAGTAGCCCTATAGCAGACCTATTGTCATACCCCTCAAAGGCATATAGTATATGAACTCGAGATAAGTCGTAATAAACAACTGCCAGTGAATAAACAAAAGAATGGATGGGAATTTGAACCATGATCCTGAATGGCAGCAGGTTTAGGGCTTTACCACTAGGCTATGATGCTTTTAATAAGAAAGTTTCACAGATAGTACTGCTGTGTCATGTCTGCACCAGAGGCCACCATCTGTGACAACTAAGGTACAATTTGTTGAAAGAACTTCTAAATCATTCAAAGTTCAAATAGGTTAACTTTCATTTCCTGGTATTTTTCTTGCCAAATATCCCAGTTTGATCTGCCTCCTAACCACTGCATAGTGATGGTTAGGAGTGGAGTCAAACCAGGATATTTACTTAGAATTATAAAAGCAAATGCAAAGGTGCTGCATATATGGAGCTCATTGCCACTTAAGTTTTATTTATTATTTGAAGTTATATGTACATGCCACCAAACCCTGAGCTAATGATGGTATAAAAATAATACTGACCCCTAAAATTTTTAAATGCAGCACATTTAATTACAATATATAATTAATATAAAGTTCAGATTGTATATAGGTCAAATACAAACCTGAAGGTTCCACCAGTGTGTACCAACAAAGTTTGCATAATGTCCAACTTGAAGGGTGATTAGTTCACGAGTAGTCTGTGCCATTCTTGTTATTCTCTTTAAATTCTAGAGGTGAAATCTTTCTTTATTTACACTCACTGAGTCATTCAACACTTATCCTGAAATGCAGTGTTGTTATTAGATAAATATAAATACTTTGCTGCAATGTATTTGTCTAAGGTCTTTTGGTTCTATAAATATTTACTCTAATGTGTAAGCAAACACAAACTGTAATTAGTTTACTGTTACTATATTTTATAGTAAAAATCAAATGATAATTTTTAGTAAGGATACAAATTTAGTATAAATTCATGAAGGTAAAGTATCTTAAAGGCAATAAAATACCAATGTATGTTAAGCACAGTTCCACTGATTATGTAAACACCAAATTAGATTTTCCTATTCAAAATTTGAGAAGAATAATGTTAACTGTTTTCAACTCAATGGCCATCTCCCACCAATGCAGGGAGACCCTAAGAAGAAAACACATTTACTAATATTCACCCAACTGCCATCTTTCCAGAAGTGTGTAGATTACCCCTCTGACTGTAACATCTCTACACCTCCTTCAGAGAACCACCCACTTCCAGGACTTGAGTCCAGCTAACCAGTTTGAATCCCTTCATAAAAGTTACCCTGCTCACACTTCAACAGCACATCTATTAAAAAAAAAATTGTCTCCATTCACTATCTAACATGCTCACACAAGCTATGTTAATATCAAAAATTTGCTTTACCAAAAATAAATAATGAATAAAATCATGAAACGCTGATGATGGTGAAGAGAGAAGTGAAGGTTTTTTCTGTAGTATTGCTTATTTTAATATGAGTAACTTCATCTGAGTAAGAATCGCTGAAAATTATTTTCAAAGCAAAATAAATTATGAATACAGTATATTTACTGTTCATGCAGTAAGTTGAGACAATTGCCAAATTATGTTAGTTTGAGTTTTGTCCTGTCAGACACACTCACTAGGATGGAGACAGCAATTATGGTGATTTGGCACCAAAACAGACTTAATAGTTTCTCTCTGATGGATCACAACTGATAACCAAAGATTGATCTATACAGATAGAGAAAAAACATTTTTTTTTTTTAACACATTGGCTGTCTCCCACCAAGGCAGGGTGACAAAAAAAAAAAGAAACACTTTCACTCAACACATTCATCGTTATTCACACACAATCAGTGCCTTTGCAGAGGTACCCAGATATGACAGTTTAGATGTCACTCCAAACAGCCAATATCCCATTATATATAGAGTAATGTGGCTTGGCTGATACCTCACTCACTTCATATACTTAGTATCTGTGGTTTGATCCATGGCACAGGTGGAAATGTTGGTCACGTTTTCTTACACCCGCTGTCACTTTTCACCCAGCAGTAAGTAGGTACCTGGTGATATTCGGCTAGTGTTGGGCAAATATTGTTAGTGGGATGGATTTGTGAAGGACCTGCCTAGTATGGGCCAACAGGCATGATGCAGTGTTCCTCCTTTCTTATCTTCTGAATTTCTTGGCTTATCCTGGGTGGCTAACCCTCCCTATACCAGGTTAAAAAATTATTTTATCTACTTGTGATAACTGCACCAGTTGTAGTGTCATTCCTGTGATAACTGTAATGATCTTGTGATAACTGCAATGATTTACTTGTGATAACAAGTAAATCACAGTATGGGTGTGAAGTATGGGTGTGAAGTATGGGTGTGAAGCATGGGTGATGAATGTTGCAGCGAGGAGAAGGCTGGAGGCAGTGGAGATGTCATGTCTGAGGGCAATGTGTGGTGTGAATATAATGCAGAGAATTCGTAGTTTGGAAGTTAGGAGGAGGTGCGGGATTACCAAAACTGTTGTCCAGAGGGCTGAGGAAGGGTTATTGAGGTGGTTCGGACATGTAGAGAGAGTGGAGCGAAACAGAATGACTTCAAGAGTGTATCAGTCTGTAGTGGAAGGAAGGCGGGGTAGGGGTTGGCCTAGGAAAGGTTGGAGGGAGGGGGTAAAGATTTTGTGTGTGAGGGGCTTGGACTTCCAGCAGGCATGCGTGAGCGTGTTTGATAGGAGTGAATGGAGACAAATGGTTTTTAATACTTGACGTGCTGTTGGAGTGTGAGCAAAGTAACATTTATGAAGGGGTTCAGGGAAACCGGCAGGTCGGACTTGAGTCCTGGAGATGGGAAGTACAGTGCCTGCACTCTGAAGGAGGGGTGTTAATGTTGCAGTTTAAAAACTGTAGTGTAAAGCACCCTTCTGGCAAGACAGTGATGGAGTGAATGATGGTGAAAGTTTTTCTTTTTCGGGCCACCCTGCCTTGGTGGGAATCGGCCAGAGTGTTAATAAAAATAAAAAAAAAATAGCAGTGATCTACCTGTGATAACTGCAGTGATCTACCTGTGACAACTGCAGTGATCTACTTGTGGTAACTGCAGTGATCTACCTGTTATAACTGCAGTGATCTACCTGTTATAACTGCAGTGATCTACCTGTGGTAACTGCAGTGATCTACCTGTGGTAACTGCAGTGATCTACCTGTGGTAACTGCAGTGATCTACCTGTGATAACTGCAGTGATCTACCTGTGATAACTGCAGGGATCTACCTGTGATAACTGCAGTGATCTACCTGTGATAACTGCAGTGATCTTGTGGTAACTGGAGTGATCTACCTGTGATAACTGCAGTGATCTACCCGTGATAACTGCAGTGATCTACTTGTGGTAACTGCAGTGATCTACCTGTGATAACAGCAGTGATCTACCTGTGACAGCTGCAGTGATCTACTTGCGATAACTGCAGTGATCTATTTGTGACAACTGCAGTGATTTACCTGTGATAAGTGCACCAGCTGTAGTGTCACTGGTAATAACTGCAGCAGTTGGGATGATGTTTGACTACTGCAGGTAGACTCATGCCGCCTCCAAGTCAGTATCAACTACGATGACTGTCTGTGGACAATAAGAACTTTTCGGTTAAAATTAGTTTAAAGGAACTTATTTAGAAACATAGATTGGCCATTATATATGTAAATTATTATATATCCTTTGGTTTATATGTGACAGTTAGTGATTAAAATGGCATCCGTGATTGATGCTACATTTCTTCCTTTGTTGGGGTTTCTAGGACCACCACAGCTTTACACCGTAATGAATCCTGTTTTTAGGCCCGTGACTTGGTGGTAAAAGCTCTCAATTCACACGGTGAGGGCAAGGGTTCGATTCCCGGCAAAAGATGGAAACATTGGGAGTGTTTCCATACACTGGTTGTCCATGTTCACCCGTCAGTAATAATGGGTACCTGGGTTAGTCGACTGGTGTGGGTCGCATCCTGGGACAAAACTGACCTAATTTGCCCGAAATGCTCTACATAACAAGCGGCTTTTTATATATCATTGATGTCATCTAGGCCTGTATACCTTGTACATATACTTGTAGAAATAAATATATTATAATGTAAACTATATATTGTATACTACGCAAATAAATAACAATTTTGATTTGAATTTAGTACCACCACAGCTTACACTGTAGTAAACTGTTTCTAGTACCACCAGAGCTCAAGCCGTGGCGAACCCTGTTGGGAATCTTTAAATTGTAAACCCTAACGTTTTTCAGAGAATTTAGGTCATATTATTAATAAAGAGAGGGCTTGAATCGTCATTAAATATAATTAGTAGAATAACGTATATTGCTAGCTTTATTACTTGCCATGTTTTTGAGTGTTTTTATGAGTTGTCGGAGACGGGTATAGGGAGCCTTGGCAGCTGTTTAAAACTTGGGAATTCGCTGGCAAGGTTAGACTCTCTGATCGCGGGTTCTATCCCCACCCGTGGTATAGTTTGTTTGCAATCGTGTCATTACGATTTCGTGAGTTAGTTCATGTGGTTGAGAAGTCGTTATCTTGGCAGTTTTGCGCTAGCCCAAAATTTGTGAGTGTATCCCATTCTTTTTAACATCTCTCTTTAGTTCTTTAAACCTGTTTGCATAATACAGTTAAGAATTATATACGTATGGTAAGTGTTAATGAATATTTTTTGCTAGTTCTCTGGAAATTAATCTTTTGGGAATTAAGCACTGAGGGAATATTATTGGAAGCTGGAGGTTACAGGAGGCGAGTCGCTTCCTAAGACCAGATATGAGTGAAGATCGTGTGTCAGTAGCTGAGTACTTGTACTCGATTCACTAAATACATATCTGGCGCTGCATTAAGAGCAGCTGTAGAAGCCTTCAGAGAGCAAAGAGTGTGCCAGGTGTATTCTCGTGGTCAACAGTGCTGGACGCCAGGAATATTATTAAGCCATTTTGACTTCTTTGGGTTTTCATAAGTTTTCTACACATATGCTGCTTTGATGATCTTCGTAACTAATTTGTGTATACCTAAATAAACTTACACCTCTCCACAAACACCACAGCATCTGGACAAATGTAAAGGAAGACACCAATACATAAATGGCGGATCTTAGTCTCATTTTTTAGTCTATTTCTTTCGAGTTGTCCCATCCTTTTGAAAATCTCCTCAGGAAAAACAGGCACTATAGAGTTATTAGAGTGTGGGGACAACTTTCTGCAGTACACCATGCAACTTCAGGGTGAGTTGTATGGTCAAATTTTGCAGCATTATTTCGTGTTAATAACTGCATTAGCAGTTTCCTTAAACCTTATGTCTGAGCATAATAATTTGCACCTTTACACTTTGGTCCTCTGACCAAGGCCTTCCACTGGCTTACTATTCCACCACTTTAAAAATTAACATTAATTATCATTACCTAATGTACCAGAAATAAGTCTTCTTGTGGAAAATTGCATTTATCTGTAACTCATTATGTACATAACAGTAAATAACAAAGATAATTATTATTTATCAATGTTAATAGACAAGTAGGAATTTGGGACACCTAGGTCGCAAAAAATGTCCCCCTTCGATACCTACCACTGTCATATCCACAAGTTGCTCTGGACCTATTAATTATTAATGAAATATACATACACCAAGAATGCTGGTAAATATATAAATTTGTGGACTGTATATTAAATTAAAAAATGATTATATATAAATACACATACACATAACAGAAGGAGAATATCTTAATATCATAACACTCACCAATTTGACTGGAGATTAAGTTGTATCATACTTAGAAAACCTCACTGTCTATACATGAAAATAACAACTGGCCAGAGTTATAACAACAGACTTATCTGAGGTTCCTGGAGCTGTCTTGTCCAGTCGCCTGATATCTCGAGTTATGCAGGAATGCACATCCAACAATTTCGCCTCCTATTTGAGAGGTGTCAGCCCAATTTTAACCTCTAGAGCACGAAAATTCCTTCCCATTACACTAACGTTGTATCCAATTCAAATTAACAATGGCGAGTCTCGTCTGCGCAGACGCAGGCTTTCTGTTTTCTATGACATAAATATTATTAAATACAGTATGGCCATCTATTTACATATAAATACTGAATTTCTGGAAAATATATACAGTATTTTCCACACTTCTAACATTTAGAGAATTGGTAAGAATTTTGGGCAAGCTTCAAGGCCACGTTATATGATTGGTCTGATCTTGCCGCTATAAAGAACTCTGCAGAAATAAAAAAAAAATATAAAATAAACCATGCATACGTTACTATGAGTAGTCAGGAAGATAAATTTATCTTCCTGACTACTCATAAACCCTGCTCTAACAGAGATATATTCAATAGTAACCAAAATTCTCTAATACAAGTCAATATTATTTACTTATTATAATTTTTGTAGTGATCAGTTTACGCGATAAAAGAGGTACTGTATTTAAAATATAGAATTAGAGTAACCAGTATTACCTGGACCTGGAGTTTACCTGGAGTTTCGGGGGTCAATGCCCCCGCGGCCCGGTCTGTGACCAGGCCTCCTGGTGGATCAGCGCCTGATCAACCAGGCTGTTGCTGCTGGCTGCACGCAAACCAACGTACGAGCCACAGCCCGGCTGATCAGGAACTGACTTTAGGTGCTTGTCCAGTGCCAGCTTGAAGACTGCCAGGGGTCTGTTGGTAATCCCCCTTATGTGTGCTGGGAGGCAGTTGAACAGTCTCGGGCCCCTGACACTTATTGTATGGTCTCTTAACGTGCTAGTGACACCCCTGCTTTTCATTGGGGGGATGGTGCATCGTCTGCCAAGTCTTTTGCTTTCGTAGTGAGTGATTTTCGTGTGCAAGTTCGGTACTAGTCCCTCTAGGATTTTCCAGGTGTATATAATCATGTATCTCTCCCTCCTGCGTTCCAGGGAATACAGGTTTAGAAACCTCAAGCGCTCCCAGTAATTGAGGTGTTTTATCTCCGTTATGCGCGCCGTGAAAGTTCTCTGTACATTTTCTAGGTCGGCAATTTCACCTGCCTTGAAAGGTGCTGTTAGAGTGCAGCAATATTCCAGCCTAGATAGAACAAGTGACCTGAAGAGTGTCATCATGGGCTTGGCCTCCCTAGTTTTGAAGGTTCTCATTATCCATCCTGTCATTTTTCTAGCAGATGCGATTGATACAATGTTATGGTCCTTGAAGGTGAGATCCTCCGACATAATCACTCCCAGGTCTTTGACGTTGGTGTTTCGCTCTATTTTGTGGCCAGAATTTGTTTTGTACTCTGATGAAGATTTAATTTCCTCATGTTTACCATATCTGAGTAATTGAAATTTCTCATCGTTGAACTTCATATTGTTTTCTGCAGCCCACTGAAAGATTTGGTTGATGTCCGCCTGGAGCCTTGCAGTGTCTGCAATGGAAGACACTGTCATGCAGATTCGGGTGTCATCTGCAAAGGAAGACACGGTGCTGTGGCTGACATCCTTGTCTATGTCGGATATGAGGATGAGGAACAAGATGGGAGCTAGTACTGTGCCTTGTGGAACAGAGCTTTTCACCGTAGCTGCCTCGGACTTTACTCTGTTGACGACTACTCTCTGTGTTCTGTTAGTGAGGAAATTATAGATCCATCGACCGACTTTTCCTGTTATTCCTTTAGCGCGCATTTTGTGCGCTATTACGCCATGGTCACACTTGTCGAAGGCTTTTGCAAAGTCTGTATATATTACATCTGCATTCTTTTTGTCTTCTAGTGCATTTAGGACCTTGTCGTAGTGATCCAGTAGTTGAGACAGACAGGAGCGACCTGTTCTAAACCCATGTTGCCCTGGGTTGTGTAACTGATGGGTTTCTAGATGGGTGGTGATCTTGCTTCTTAGGACCCTTTCAAAGATTTTTATGATATGGGATGTTAGTGCTATTGGTCTGTAGTTCTTTGCTGTTGCTTTACTGCCCCCTTTGTGGAGTGGGGCTATGTCTGTTGTTTTTAGTAAGTGAGGGACGACCCCCGTGTCCATGCTCCCTCTCCATAGGATGGAAAAGGCTCGTGATAGGGGCTTCTTGCAGTTCTTGATGAACACAGAGTTCCATGAGTCTGGCCCTGGGGCAGAGTGCATGGGCATGTCATTTATCGCCTGTTCGAAGTCATTTGGCGTCAGGATAACATCGGATAGGCTTGTGTTAATCAAATTTTGTGGCTCTCTCATAAAAAATTCATTTTGATCTTCGACTCTCAGTCTGGTTAGCGGCTTGCTAAAAACTGAGTCATATTGGGACTTGAGTATTATTATTATTATTATAATCAAGGGGGAAGCGCTAAACCCGGAGGATTATACAGCGCCTGGGGGGGGATGTGGAAGGCATTCAGGCTTAATTCGGGGAACTGGAGCACAGATCCAATTCCCTAAATCAAGAGCCCCTCACCAACATCAAGGAACCTTCCTTGAGGGGGGGACTTGAGTAGCTCACTCATTTCCTTGCTGTCATCTGTGTAGGACCCATCTTGTTTAAGTAGGGGCCCAATACTGGGCGTTGTTCTCGATTTTGATTTGGCATAGGAGAAGAAATACTTTGGGTTTCTTTCGATTTCATTTATAGCTTTTAGTTCTTCCCGCGATTCCTGACTCCTAAAGGATTCTTTTAGCTTAAGTTCAATGCTTGCAATTTCTCTGACCAGTGTCTCCCTGCGCATTTCAGATATATTGACCTCTTTTAGCCGCTCTGTTATTCTTTTCCGTCGCCTGTAAAGGGAGCGCCTGTCTCTTTCTATTTTACA